GGCACCTTTCCTTCCTCAGAAAAGCATGGACACACTTGTATAAAACGTTCCGTCTGACTGGGAGTCACCTTAACTCCTCTGCTAGCAAGCATATGTGTTTAAAGATCAATACAGAGTCTTTTTCCTTTAGAATCAGTATGGCACATCTTCTCAACCTAAGTTCTGTACTATCCACCTTCTTACCCTACTTATCCTCTATAGGGGGGTCTGCAGCACCCTACGGTGGAGTCCTATCCGTCCCGAGTGTGGATCCTGTTCAGGCGCCAGATGCCGGGGGCCAGCCCCAGCGGTCCAGGGGTTCCCAAAGGTGTGGACGGAGTTGGCGAAGAATGTTTCACACGGAGACAGCGTTCAGAACTCTCTAGTTCTCTTTAGTCTCCGTGGATCTTCCCTGTGCCTGGCTGAGGCCACAGAAGAAAGATCCTGAGGCAAACTGAGCCTTTATTTTACAGTGACAGGTAAACAAGGTAGTGGTTTCCATAGTTACACAGTTCTTGTGAGTTTCACTTGTTTTGGCCACTTCCTGCACTTCCCTCAGCCCATTAGCTCCCAGATAAGATCTAGGGAGCCTCATAGGGTCAAGCCAAATTATGCTAAGAGGACTGTGCCCTCTAAGCTGGGAATTGTTTGTGACTTTACCCACAGGTCAGTCCGAGGCCTAACCCTATATCAGCTCCCCACAACAAAACTCAGTGACCAGGATGGCCCAGTGACGCCGCCGGCAGGCCTGGGGGTGGGTTTTGCTTGGCCGGCCTGGGTCGAAAGGGCCCAGCCCAGCCCTTAGTCCCGCGTCTGTTTGTTATGGGCAGGCGAGCAAGGCGCTGGGGGGTGTGACTCCTGGTGTAGGAGGCTGAGAACTGTTAGCCACTCATCTCTCCACTCGCTCATTCACCCCTTCGCTCATGTTCCTCCCCAGGCCTGCTGTGTCCCAGGCACTGGGGATACACGAGTGAGCAACTTACTCAAAGATCCCTGACACGATGGAGTTTACAGCCTGTCAGGGGGAGACAGCGGAAAACGAGAAGCGTCATAAATAAATAAATACACGATCTGGCATGTGAGAAGGA